TAACCCCCAAACTCAAACCTAGTCAAATCGTCCTCATGGGTAAGGGCTTCCATGAGGAGTCAACAAAGTCAGGCACAACAGATTTGGTCAGTGTCAAGCCTCTCTCCTGTGCATGAAGCCTGAGCATGGCATTCAACCATAGTGAATGAGTTCCAACAAGTTAGCTCATGGACCAGGTTTGTATCGTGGTCCTACTGCCAGGAGCCCCTTAGATAATCCTATTCTTATACTGTCCAGTGCCCAACTAGGTAATGATGCTGCTCACTTTAAGGCTAGTTTCTCCCATATTAATAAGAGTGTCATGATAATCTACACAGACTTGCTAGTAGGCCAAATTATCTTTGGAGATGCATTATTCTCATATAAATTATGCAAATCTGGACAGAGACAACTAACAACCAAGGAATCTTACTTAAGCTTGGTAACCACATTGTTATGTTCCCTTTCTTTTTATAGGAATTGTTGATGTTGTCATCACTCAAGTGACCAAAGCCACTCCCTTCATTAAGAATTGGACAGTCACATGAGTGGTAGTCTCAGCTCCTTAAATGAGTGACTTTTTTTTCTTCCACAAACTGTTCCAAGTCTCCAATTATCAGTATGGTTAGCCCTACTTTGAATCACCCTATTAACCAAAATTATAACCTGGACATGATGACTTATGCCTTATTGTATAAATTATCAGGTAGAACAGGAGAGTCCAAAAATGTAAGGTAACTGCAAATAAACATTATGGCTGTGTATTTTAAGTAGTTAGAAAAATTTTAACTTTGTAAATGATCAGTGTTTGAAGAAATGGTGATATATAATATTTATGCAGCATATATCAAAGAATTGCATGATACCTCATTAATATGAACAAATTTGTGTATCTATATCAATTTAAACTTAGAAGAAATAGTTCACACTATATTGTACATTACCTCCTAATATTCCAAAACTAAGACTCATTCTCCTTTCACTACTTTCCAGTCTCCATTTATAGTAATATCTAAGACATGTCTAATATACAATGTATTTTATTTATTTATCACATTGTCTCAATTTCTTATAGAATAGATATGTTAAAATTCAGTAATTCTTATTTTTTTCTGTTCAATATCCAATGACTAAAGTATTGTTTGACATAATGAATGATTAGAGTTAATGAATTATTTGGTTGAATGACTGAGTGGATCAAACTCTCTAATAGACTCTCTATTTTTTAACATAGAATTGTCCTTAATTATGTGTTTGAAATATGAACACATAAATATTTCAATATTTAAGACATTCTTCATGGTACTTTTGTCTTCCAGATATTTAACCAAATATCTAACTAAATATTTTAAGTTGCACTTCAATTCATAACTAATGGCCATGTTTACATTTTATTAGATCTTAAAGCACATTCCAACATTTTCACCTTGAAATTAGCTACCAAGAGTAATTCAAAATATGTTCTTAATTAAGCAATCCAAATGTTTGGTGTTTGGAATATATGTGTGTGTGTGTGTGTGTGTGTGTGTGTGTGTGTGTGTGTGTGTGTGTGTTTGTGTGCATGCATGCATATATAAATATATGTGTGTGTGTATGCGTGCATGTGTGCATTTGTGTATGCATGTGTGAATGCATACACATGCTCATATGTGTTAGGTATCTTCCACAGTCAAATGGTCCACATGATTTTGAGACAGATCTCTTACAAAACCTGAAATTACCTGATTCAGCTAGACTGCTGGAGAATGTGCTCCAGGCTTCTGTCTCCTGCTTTTTCACATTGAAAGTAACCAAAGAGCTGATACAACTGGCTTTTACATAGACAGGGATGATATAAATTCAGCTTGTTGTGTTTGTGCAACAAGCACTTTACTGAGAGCCATTTCCCTACCCCATAATTTATATACCTTAATTCTTCTCTTAAGATAAGAAATTTTAGTGCTTTATTTTGTAAGAAAGCTGCAAGAGGAAACTAAATTTCCACTATTTCTTACTAGGATACCTTAAGTTAATGCATTTTTAATGTATTTCATAAAGAAGTCATGTAATATCTGCCCAGATATTTATAAGAGGGAGGGTATTTTTCTATACCATACACATGAAAAAGATAATCTCTTTGGTTGGCTAAATAGGCTTATCTCATAACATTTCACACCTACATAATAGGATGAATATGATAAATGAGCTTTAGAACATTTTGTATTTCTAAAAGTGAAAAAGACCTGGAGGTAAGAATGAAGGATAGCCTAGTGACTACTGAAATATTTTTATGTTATAATCACTTTCAAGTCTCTATTTTGTGACAAAGGCAGAGAATGTTTTATAGAAATAGCAGACTCAAGATGTTGAAATGTATTTTATGAGTGAGATCTGAATTGCATCCTATTTCAGAATCATGTGTCTGGGAAATACACTGCATTTCACAAGTTTTTAATTGATACAAACAAGAAGAAATTGTATTTCTTTTCAAGTTTCAATTCTTTGGAGATTTCTTCAAATTACAGAGTGAAATGGCCTATTGCTTGGATAGCTGCTTCAGTCATGTTTTTGAAAACTGTATCTGCATTCATGAGCAGAGGAAATTCATCACTCCTAAGTTAAATTATGGGACATCAAAAGTCATGTCAAAGGACAAGGTTTGCTAAATGTACTTTGATGGTACCATTAGTGTCCTGCTTTCTAACCCAAGAAAATGGCAGGTCTGTCTCAGTCACCAATTGCATCAGCCTGGAAGGAGTATGCAGTTAACACATTGCCATAAGTTAATTAGAGAGGAATTAGAGAGAAAGTGAGCAGTTTAGCAATGCAAAATTGCCATTCTGCATCGCACCACTGGTTCCCCTCGTTTAACATCCAGCCTCCAGCAGCTGGACCTGTTGGTTTCTACAGCTTTTAGAGAAAGGTAAAGGACCCCATGATTCTCCCAGGCTGTGCACCATCTGTGATCAGGCCACATTTTCCTCTTGACCTCCTTCAAATAATACCCTCAAGCTGGAGGTTTCAATCAGAGGATGATATTGGTTTAGCTTAAATAGCTATGGTTATTAATAATCCTTTCTAAATCATCCAATTTCTACATAAAATCAACTATGCCATCAGGAAGCTATTTCTTGCTAAAGCTCCTAAATTCATGCTTGAGTATGCCTGTGCCTGGGATGAAATGTGCATTCGTGATGCTCATTCAACCCAAGTTCTTGATACAATCTGCCTCTAGATAACTATTTTGGATGAACACTATTTTTCCAAACTTTCTTCATTTCAGAGTTTCTTCTCAATCTCAAAGTTTGGTATCACCTACTACTTGCAAATTTCTATCTAACAACAATCTACAAATGCCATATGAAAAATGGAGTCTTGCCTACTATTTGTAGAAAGTTCAACTAGAAATTTTCTTCTGTAATTTTGCATAAGAAAAAAACAGGGAGAAAGGAATGGATTTCTTATTTCTGTCACTTGAATCCTTTCTTTATTATCGGAATAAAAGTACGTACCTCATAGGTTTACATAGTGTTCTGATTACCACATCAAAAGAGAGGCCTCAAATCTTGTGAAGAACAGTAAATTTCTACAAGTGAAATCCCACTGTTTTCTTAAGTTGTCATTAATGTGTCAACACTAATATCCTAACTCTAAACTAGCTTCGTGGCTCTTAGCCTTGAAGACACTGTTTATCATTCTTTGGACTAAGTAACAGATTCAATGTTCACTTTTATATTAACTCTATTCCTTCTCTGGATTTCTCACATGTCTTTCTGGATTAGATTTTTATTATTGTTACATTATTATTATTATTATTATTATTATTATTATTATTATTATTATTAAGTTTTCTTAGTTTACCCAAAATCTTATTGCTTTGGTGATTTCTTTTCAAATACGATTATTCTTCTTCTTTTTATTAGACCTTAGCTTTCCATCAATATATGTTTTTAGTCATTAATATTTTTAAAAAAACACAGATTGGTACTAAAGAGAATAGTTCTAATTCCTACTGAATGGCTAATTAATAGAATAACTGAAAATAACAAGAAAAGGAACATTCTTATGTCATGCTCTTTGACTTTGATATGAACTCAATGTGGAATTATTGAAAATGTTATTGCAAATTCATTTATATTTTTGGTGTTGCATGCAAGCATGTTTGTGTAGGAATGTGTGTATGTTTGTGTGTATGTGTGTTCCATACCTAATCCTAATGTAAGTCAAAGAATAACTTTCAAGAATCAATTCTCACCTTGAACCATGTTGGTCACAGGGTTACACTGAGGTTATCAGACTTGGGGTAGATTCCTTTGTGTGCTTACATGCTTACACACCCTGTTGGCTTTTACAGAGAACTTTTAGAGAGTAACAGAATAGAAATAAGAGACTCTTAAAATAAGGTATGCCACTTTCCTAGGATAGGAAGTTCTTTGCATAATAAAGAGATTAATAGTGCCAAATCCAGACAGTATTGATGAGAATTAGCAGAATATAGTTGAGGCAATAGAGATTGAGATGGTGGTGTTAATATGACTACAAAGGTGTAAGTCTGAGATAGGGAAAGATAATAAGATAAACGTAACATTCCTTTTTGGATGTGTTAAAGTGAGAATCAAAATTATTTTGCCAACACAAATTGGACTCGGTGTACTTTTTTTGTGGGGTGGTGGTAGAGGGACATAACGATAGGGGAGTGGACCTGAGAGGAATGGAAAGCAAAAGTGATCTGACTGCATTGTATGAAACTCCCCGATAATTTATAAAAATATTATGTTGAAAAAGAGAAGTAATTTGCAAAAAGTAAATATTTTTCTATGTATCACAGAAATACATGCACTGAGTTGTGGCTGAGGATACTAAAAATGAAATTCATTCATGCATGACATCTTAAAAGCCTGTTCATTTATTTTTGACATCGTCAAAATATGGCCTGTTTTCTTCTTAAATACTGTTTGAAATTTATCAGCAATTTCAGAGAAAGGTATTTTTATCTAACAATGATTTCATACAAATGATAAAATCTTTGTTTAATTATCTAGACATCCCAATGGGACCCAGAACAATAGCAAAATGTGGCCTGTCTTCACAAGTACTGAACAAAAATACCTAACCTTGAACACAGAAAAATCAAGAATAAACTCTAAACTTCGTGCTCCACAATGCCAATTTTGGAATCTATTTTTCCCTAAAGTCGAGCAAATGACAGGTATGTGCTTTTCCCATTTGCTTATTTAATTTATTGTGGGTTGTGAAAAATGAGGGAAAACTGGACTGTTTCTTGAGATTATCTTATGCCAAAATATGATTTGTGATAGTTTCTAAATAGAGAGAGGAAAAGAAAATTGTAGATTTGGATGGGTAGGAAAGAGGAGAAGTTATGTTAAGAGAGGAGATTAACCATATAAACTTTGGACACAATACAGTATATGAAGAAAATATTTTCAAATATTAAAGATAGATAACCTGTGAAGGGTTTGCAATGCAAACATGAGAACTTGTGTTTTGTCTCTAGCAACACCTGGGTCTGTGGTCATGGTGCATACATGTAATTGCAGTGCTCAAAAGTAGAGAGAAGAGACCTTGGGAACAAACTCAACAAGTCTAGTCTAGTAGAGTCAGTGACCTCCAGATCTAGTGAGAGAGCCTATCACAAAGAGTACAGTGATTGCTCACAAAAAACATATACATACATAAAGGAAATTTTATGTTTGCTTTCTCAAATATGCCTAATATTAAATGTGAAATATTTGTTGCCTTAGTTTTCTAGGTATAATTACTAATTTTAATATCAGAAAATATTTAGGGTTTATATTTTTAAGATGCTTTGTTAACTAGTTATATTTTCAGCCTATTTCATCAATTGTCTCCAGAAGTTTTAATTATGTTTTTTTTTCTTTTATTATTACTACAACTACATATCAGAGTGAATGCTAATGGAGTACCATTCTTGGTCTGTAGTGTATATTAATTCTTTGTGATTGCTAAGTTTAGTAGTTTGGTGAATATTCACTCATTTTATCAACAATATTTTGTTTTAAATTTAATTTAGTTTTCGTGTGTATCTACAGAACATTTATTAATGAAAAAATAAGTAACATTGTCAATTTTATTTTTAATTATTCATTTTTATTTGGCCATCTAAATATATTTTCTTTGGTGAGAAGTAATTTGTATTTATGATAAAATTTGAAAATGTGTGGAATTGTAATATAATGTGAGTTTAATAATCATGTATTATTTGTTAATAACTTTAATATTTTTGTATAGTAAAATAGAGGATACTTTTTATTAATAAAAACAGTAAGTGATTTCAACTGGCCATCTCATTGCAGGCCATTTCTACAAATTTCATTGTCAAAGTGTGTGTTAGATATGAAAAAATAATGCATATTGTTGAATTCTTTTTCAGAGAATTTGGGTTATTTAAAAAAATTAAACATCTCAGAAATGTGTTGAGATGTTTACTATGCTCTGTGATTACCATACATTGATCAGCAAACTTGTAATTGTGTACTTCTTCTGTTCGAAAGAGGTTAATGATATATCTGTGTTCTGAGTGTGACTAAATGTTCTGACATAATATATATCCAGAGATGAGTCTCTGTGTCCCTTGGCAGAGCAACAGTGCTGTCCTTGTGTTCTCCCGGTGTGAGTAACAATGAGGTAACTCACTTAATCTGCCAAGAAACTCAGATACCATTGAACATACCACAATGCACATATTCTAATCTCTACAAATGATTTGCTTAAATACTGAGGTTGTGCTCTATGCTGAAAAAAAGTTAATGTGAAAGTGAGGAGGTAAATTTAAATGATGCGCTTATTACAAGGCAGTAGAGTCATTTCAAACACAAGGAATCTACGGCAATTTACTTACTGATGTTCCATGATTGGAGTCTCAACAATTTTGAAAGTAGGATGCAAAAATGACTATTTGAAAAACTTTCTTGTCACAAAACTTTAGTTTGTGTCAACTACAGCTGTTTGCAAAAGCATCAAGCATCTCTACAACTTAAAAAGTTTGCAGAACACCCTAATTTGCCTAGGGAAAGATTTAGTGCATCTTGAATTATAATTTTGTACTTAAGTATAAGATTTCTAATGTATTCTGAAAATCTCTCCAAATGTCTTCATATTAAATATATATTTTTATGAGGCTGAGGAGATGAGTCATTGGGTAAAGTACTTACTGCATAAACATGGAGACTGGAGTTTGGATTCTTAGCACTAACTTTAATTGCCTCAGCCACCCCCAAAGAAATATTTATAATGAATTTGGAATAAAACAAACCTAGAAACAAGGGAAGACAAAGCTGGGGGACTGAAAAGCTGAGTATTCTAGGTTCCAACCCATCATTGGGCAATGGCAACAGAGAAAAATAGATCAGGATGGAGGATTCTTTAACTATTCTGTTTATCTAAAACAACAACCTCATATCTGAATGAGTGATTCAGTGTCTTTCATGTATGTATGTATATATATTTATGTATGTATGCATATGAAGGAGGTGATTGAGGGATTAAAGAAGACACGCTCACATCAACATATGACATATGACTTACCTCTACTCACACCCAAATAATCAGGCATAGCTATGTACCCTTCCATATTTACATACGCACAGACAGACAGAGAAAGAGAGGCAGAGACAGAGAAAGAGAGACAGAGAAAGACACAGAGATAGAGATAGGGAGAAATTAATAATGTGTCAACACACATATTTTAAAGTTTAAGGAACATAAATTATATAATTTTGGGACAATGTATTCATTTAAAATTGTCACATTTACTAAAGTTTGAGGTTACAGTATTGGAGATTTATAAATAAGTAACACTAGGAAGAGTTCATATGTAAGAATATATCCCACCCATACTTCACATTTTTCAGGTATTAAAATTTGAATGTTTTACCTTTAATGTTTCAAATATCATAAGTCTTGGGCTGAAGTTTACTTTTTTCCAAAGGTAGATCTACAAACAAAAGAAAATTTTAAAGAATTACTGCTGATTGCCTTTCTTGAAACAAAAAATGCATACTTCACTCCACATGGAAAAGCAATAAGCTTTCTAAGTAGCACTTCAGCCATAGTTTACAGTAGAGCAATAAATATTCTCATATTCAATGATTGTTAAGATTGTTTAAACATAGATTTCAGCACTTCACTTCTAGGTTATACTTCAGTCCATGCCTGCACAGTCCATGCATGTGCAAGAAATGAGATGTTCAGTGTTTGTGTCAAATATGATCAGGTTTATATGTTCCCTGAGAATATTATAGAACCTCAGACCTATTTTTCCTCCATTTTTATTTGAGTTAGAAACAAGATTGGTTTACATTTCAATTCCAGTTCTCCCTCCCTCCCCTCTTCCATCATACCTAATTTTAAATGAGATAGAAATTATCGATTCATTGTCACCATTGATAGAAATATTCTTTCATTAAAAATGTAAGATGAAGCTTAATAGAAAAATACATTATCTCATAAGGAAAACACTTTAGATACAGTGATTTCTTGACTGATGTTTTACTAACATATGGAACATTGTTCCTTGCCATTCTAAATTTAATTGCACTTGGGGTCTGTGGAGAAGATGTAATGCTTAGGGTTTTGATTCCCTAATCCCATGTAAGTATAATTACAGTATTGGAAGGTGGAGACATGGGATCCTCAGGTCAGCCAGGAAAGCCATACTGGTGATTTGACTATCATTATACACAGATGAAATAAAATATAAAATAAAATATTAAATAACACAGATAACTTTTAACTTGTTCATGTGTAGAATCATTTACTGATAGTTCCAATTTAGTCAGATTAACAACTCAAGATTAGACCATAGAAAGATGATACTGTGAAAAATACTACAATAATTTAATTACCAAAGTTTGTATTTACCATCATTAACAAAAGTAAGTACACAAAAGTTTACTTCATGCTTACCCATTATCTTCCTGCCATAGTACGTGAAATCTTCATAATACCCAACTCCATTATCAAAGGACTCACTCTGGCATCCCATTCAACACCCAAATTACAACAGTAAAACAAGTCTTTGAGCTACCACATAAAGACTTATCTATTTTTCATACTGTTTGTAGCTTGTTAAACTTAAGGAAATAAGGCAGAATTAGGCTTGGGAGCCTTTTAGTGAGCCTCCTTTGAGTTCATGGACTGCTGGTTTTAAGCAGCAAAAGTCGTCGTCTGTCAACATGAATTCCTCCTCTAACTTTTCTTTTACAAGAAATTTCGGACAGTTCATGCATTTTCCATTGCCTATAGTAAGCTGAATATTTGGATGTTGAACTCATGTATTGAAATCCTAAATATTGGGTTGATGGAATTAGAAAAGGGGTCCTTCAGGAGTCATGAGATTGGGAGGGTGGAACCTTCATCTGTGGGATTGGTGTGTGTTCTTCTTAAATAAAATACAATAAACAGAATAGAAAAAAATAAATACCTGACATATGGAGACTTAAGTTGCCTCACAGCTCATCTTCTAGTTTGGAGGACATGTGTTATTCATGGGTGCTTTTTCACATATCTATTGGTTACATCCCAGAAATTCTAGCCCACTGCCAAAAAAAAAAAAAAAAAAAAAAAAAAAAAAAAAAAAAAACAAAACCTGACATAACTTCCCAGTTCCTATATGTGTGAGAACACAATGACACAATGATGAGTCTGTCACTTATGTCCAGGAACAAAATCCTCACCAAAGCTCTTGTGACCTAAGTTTTGGTTTTTGCCTCATAAATACAAGATGTAAGTTTCAATTGTATTAGGTATACTATATCCCAGGGGACCCAAAATATCCACCTTTTTCTCTGTCTAAAAGAAATAATTTCAGTTTTGGTCAAGGTTTCCTAACTTTACTTCTTTCAAAAACAAAGAAGACTGATCATGTTCATAGGAAAGACAACCTTTACTTTCAGATGAGAGACAAATCTAGGAAGAAACAATGAAAACAAAAAGTAAATTGAAAAAGTTAATTTCCATACAGCTTCCTATGCCTATCCACTACTCTTTTCCCATGCTTCTCCTGTGAAACATCAAATAAACAAATTTTTTCAGTCATATTCTCCAACCCAACCACAGTCCCCAAACACATACCAATAAAGCAAACTGTTGCTGTTTTATATCTAGGAAAATAATTTGTGTCATTTGAAGCAATTTAAAATTAGATAAATCATTCAGAAAACAAAACTGTATAAGAATTAAATTTAAGAGAGATGACCCAGAAGTTAAGAGTGTGCTGTTCTTGCAAAGGATCCTGTGCAGTTTCCAGCACCTGTTTTGGGAAACTGACAATTGCCTGGTACTCCAGCTGCAGGAGACAGGATGCTGGCATCTGTTTGCTACTTGCATTCCAGCCACATGCACAAAGACCTACAAAAAATGCATATAATTTTTAAAAACTTAAAATAAATTTATAAATAAATGCATAGATAAATATATTTAATATAAGTGTTTTAGTACTAGGTAGCAAATTAATCAAGTTTATTTGTATTTATACATGTAAAGTCACATTCTATTTATGTCCCATTAGTATACCTTAAAAATTTAGATGGAAATTGCTAACTTATAGAGAACTTTTCTGCTTTTAGGAAATACTCAGGTCAAAATTGTCACTTAAGTTGAATTTATTTATGCAAATTTTGGTTATTATTTAATTCTTAAAAGTTTTCTTTGCATTTGATATGTTAGTATTAGGCAGTTACAGTCTACAATATAAATATGGAATTATATGTTGTCATATTACATAAGAACAGTTTTAACATCATTGATTTGATATTATACATTTCTAATCAGAATATGAGTTTAATTTTTTTCTTTCCTATTTAGTATAAAATGTTTTATATCCATTTGAAGTTATTAATATGTTGTCAAATTATATATTGGTGTGAATATTACCAGTGTAACACTCTTTTCAGAATATCAACTATTATTCTTGCTGAAAAACAGGACAGGATGTTTTATTTGGTGGGTAGCTGGGTGGCAGCTAAAAGGATATAAATACTTGTATATAATATTTAATGAAAAAAGAGGCCATGAATTTGAAAACTAGCAAGGAGGGGCTTTTTGAAGTATTTGGAGGAAGCAAAGGGAAGGGTGAAGTGGTGTGATTATATTATAACTTAGAAAACTAAAAATAATTTTCAAAAAGAAATTGGATTTTAAGACATTGACTAGTACAAAATATATTTATATTCAAAACAAAAAAATCACATCATCAATTATGCACAAAATATTAAAAGTTGGAAAGAGATAATTTCTAAACAACTAGTATGTTCAGGTAGATTACTGTATCTATATAGCTTGCATTTAACAAATTCTTGCACAATTTGGGTAGTATACTAGATAAAAATATTATTTCTTTGTTTTCATTTTCATCAATTAATATGATAACTGTTTACAGAGTGTATGCTCTGTTCTTGAGCCCTAGGAAGAGACTGTGGTCTCCATAATGCCCCTCATAAGAATGACACATGCTCACTCACAGTGAATTGGCAGAGGCATGGTCCAGGATCGTGAAAAGCTATTAAGAGAAGACACCTGCACTGAATCTTAATAGGAAGGCATCCTGGAGAGAGGAGCCAGATAACTAGGGACACGGGACAAAGTGTCCTATGCACCATGCTAAGGAATTTAAATTCTGTCTTAAGCACAGCTGCTTAGTAATTTCAAGTAGAGGTCTGACAGGTCCTGGTTGTTGATTCCTGGATGTATTAGCTTTCACTGCATGCAAGGCTCTTCTGTTCTGCATTATGACATATCCCCACAGTTCCTTCATTCCTCAGGCTGTGCCGCCTCCGTTTGCTAGATCCTATCAAGCACATGCTAGCTTTGTTATTCTTATTGTATTTTACTTTATGTTTATTAAACATTTATTTTTATTTTTATGACATATTCCAAATATTATTTAGTATAAAAATATTTAATGTTATAATTTGCTGCTGATTGGTATTTGGTATTTTTTAATTCAAGAATTATTACAGATGCCTAAAATTCTGCATTTAATATTTCTACTTAATATCATTTACAATTAATTTTATTTCATATATTTCAATATGATCTTTTCTGGAAAAAATCATGAGAACTCTTATTTTTATGGATATTGGGGATTTTTACTTTATTCTTAGTGAACTGTTGCAAAGTTTTTGTCCCTGATTAGTTCTATGGTTGTTATTATAAATGTAATACCAACTTTCTACTTAATTTTGACTTTTCTAAATGTTGGCCATTTATACTGTTAGCCATTCCAGTTTTATTTTTTCCCTTTCGCACTAATAACTGTATACTTGAGAAAGAATGATTAATGGTGTAATCATCAGATGAAACCCACAAACTATATGAAGGCCAATATTTTTGAGTGAAGATAATACCCCAGTGTCTTTCTGTATGTATATTTTGTATTATGAAGTTTTTGTAATGTTTAAAGAGTTCATTAATAAAAGTAATAGCTGCACGTCTTCAGGGAAAATAATGAAAGAACATATAGTATACATTATCATGATATAATTTATACTTTCATTTATTATACACTACAGTTGCATTTTGAATATACTGCCTAAAAATTATTAAAATATTTTCCAGTAGTAATAGAAGTTGATAATACATAATGAAAAATAAAACTGCACTATGCCATATAATTGGAGAAAATGTCATCTATAATTAGAATTCTTTGTCAGGAGATGTAAACAGAGATTAAACTTTAGATTAATGCAATGTATTCCATGTTTTACAGGAAATATTGATGAAACAGAACAAGAGTGGAAAGCAGGATTCCATCGATGGAGCAATTACATGATGGACTGGAAAAATCAATTTAACGATTACACTAGCAAGAAAGAGAGTTGTATGGGTCTTTAATTAATAGATTTACCCTTTATAGAATGTTCATTTTCCTGTAGATGAAAGCAAAAATACCAGTTGCTCTCTCCACATATACCAAGAACACTATTATACAGCAGAGAGAGAAATGCCAGAGGAGAATATCCATTCCTCACATCTTTCAATTGGTATTTTATCTAATGGTTCAGAACCGAGTCACTAGAAGTTGTTTTATTAATTTACAGAATATGAACTTTGACAATTAATTATGTGTGTATTAATACAATGTGCTGCTCTGATCTTACTTTACTGAATAACTTTACAGTTTTTACACAGCAGGTACATACTCTGTTTTTATTCACTACCATATTTTCAGAACAACATATATAAAGGTATTGATAAACTAAATGGGATTTCGAAACACTGGATGTTAGAGTTTATGTAGTGTTTCCTATACTTTATTTATAAACATAATGTTAATATGAAATGGGAAAACAAAAAAATGATTAGTCATATATAGAGTGGCAATACAGAATATAAAAATAAGAGCCATGGTATCTGGGAAAGGTTATGGTGAAATAACATATGGCTATAACAAATGTAAGGAATTTCATGTACTGTTGAAAATCAAACCAGCTTGCTATCCTGCATAAGAAAACATGCTTCAGGCATCATTTTTCTGAATACAACTTGTCATATGAAACAGGTTCCATCCAAGAACTCCACAGCCAAAGAAAACCTGGGACTCCTAAGAGAAAATCCTTTGCCTCAACACTGTGGTGTGGGGTCTGTACAGCTGAAATCAGAGTATAGGAACTCTTGGATATTGTTCCTTTACAGATTCTCAGGTAAAACAAATGTTTGATTTAAATTACTCATAAATTAAATGTATAGAAATCTAAACTCCACAACACATCAGCCCACTCTAAGTTTAATACATGAGGAGGAATTTCTAGAACATTAAACAAAGTAATAGAGCTGTTACCTAATTTAGGTGAACTTTTTTATTCATGTCTCAAAATACGACAAATAAGTATATCTTATATCATTAAAGATTAAGTATAGCTAATCCGGACAGTTTAGGACAATATATACACTGAAAAATGTTATTTTTAGTGGATTAATGTTCAGATTTTGAGTTATAATAACTAAAACAATATGTCTCTTTTCTTTAAAAATACCTTTGCTATATTTTAAATTTTTTGAAAAATAGTATGCTAAAGGTTATAATGACAGGGGACAATTTAAAAAGTAAAGTAATTAAATTATTGTCAATCTGAAAATTTATTGGATAATTACTAATATAATTTTTGTTGTGACACAATTAGTCAAATGTCTAATAAATAGGACAATCTATATGTTGTGGACGAAAGCAGCAAAATCAATAGTGAAATTTCTTAGAATAATTATCCATACTATACTCAGTGACAGAGTTATCTTTGCAAAATTGTTTGAAAAGGGGGATATGCAGGATGAAAAGGACTTTGCCTAAATATACTGAATGTAAAACATTATTTACCATCATTTCACCCTGCCAAAGGATAAAGAAAAGTTCAACAGCAGGTCTAAAAATGCATACAAATATGTTTTAGGATTCTTTATAGGAGCAGAACAAAAAGAATGAATGCATATATTAGAAAGGAATTTATTTGAGTGGCTCGGGGATATATTTTAGTAGTTAAATAATATCTGTCTCACACTGGAGAGGCCTAGAATATAGATGTTGCTCAATACACAAAATTGCAAGTCTCAACTTTTCTACTTAGGTGCTGGAAGTCTGAGGAATCCTACAAAGCTTCTGGCTTAAGTCTACCTTGGAATCTCAAAGTAGGTTCTAATACATATTAGAGGAGAGAAGTCACATCAACAGGATAGAAGAACTTACCTACAAGAATTAGTCCAAGTAGGTGAATTGCAAAATGTCCTTGCGTGTCCATTGATTTAAGCTACCACCATAAGGTTCATCACACATTTAAGATGAGTCTTCCTGTTTCAAATTATCTGATTGAGAAAACCACTCACAGAGTGTCCTGATGCTTACAAATCAGTTGACTCCTGATGCCATCAATTTGACACCAAAATTAGGTATTACAAATCTACCTCTTGTCCACATGACACATAGCTACATTTCCTTAAGTCATACTAATTTCGAAATCAAAGCAATATTCAGGTCATAATTACATCTAGCATTCTGTAACTATCCCATCAACAACTGTAAATGTATTATCTATTTTATGATAGTTAAGTCCCTGGAAGAATGCTTGGATTTTTAGTGTCTTTCAATTTAATATAGATTTACAAAACTTAACCAATGATATTATCCCAATAGATGTTACGGTGTGTGATAAAGAAATAGAGGAAAGAACTCATAAATATCTCTGTATACAGCAAACATGTTTTTAAGATAATAAGATAGAAACTCATATCTATTACAATCGTTTCTGAAACTGAATCTTGTTCAGTATTTATAACTATGTTTCTGTGCTAGCCAATTTTTTATTTCCATTACCATTAGCAAGCAGCCTACATGTGTGGGTTTCCTGGAATCAGTATCAATTAAAAATCAGTACCAATGGGCTATGCAAATCTGACTGTTTATTTTTCCTCAATGAATAGTTACTCTAATAAAAGGCCATAGTTTTTTGTTCTTTTTTGTTTTTTTAGAAAAGTACAAGACAAAAGATAATAATAAAATTCTTCAGTATGCTAAAATAATCCTAACTCAGGGGGTCCTGGACTTTCCTTGCTTCAAGTAGTTCTCAATTTTCTAATTGGCTCAAGTCTGGAAATTGGCAGGCAGAGATTGCTTACTTCAAAATTTATCCTTTCTTGTGTTTTTAAGACACATTTTTTGCTTATATAGATGAAACAAACACTTGACAGGCTTCCATATATTTTGTCCTTAGTAACACCATGTTTCATTAGCCAGTATCAAAGGTCACTATGCGTGAGAAATTTACGTACATTGCTTTGTCTTTGCTTCCCATTCCAATGCCTCTGCTTGTCTTGCCTCTGACCTCTACATCTCAGGGGCCCAATTACAATTAGCTTATCCATTGAGGAACAGTATCTTCAATCCTCAGGTTTGACACAAGGAAAAAAGTCATGACAAATTTCTTCAAGTGTGTCAGTGCCCCTATTGGCATTTTCTGTGTTACATTTTCCATGTTACCCACTCACCTTTTCTATAATAAAGAGTATACATTCTTCACCCTCCCACTGTGAGGGATTAGATTTTACAGTTTATCTACTCCAGCATTCTAAATCCTTGAGTCTTAAAAACCCCATTATCAACAATAAGCCAAGATATAGCAGGTATGCCCAGTTCTCTGTAAGTAGAATATCATTTGAGAAATACAACAGCCTACCAACCATATGAACCTTTGCTAGCCTTTTATTAACTGTGAAAGCTTCCACAGTAAACCTAAAATCACCACTCATTGGGTCAATATCAATAATCTCAGCCTGATCCAGTTTTATGTTTTTTCTTCCAGTACCCAACACACTTCAGATCCATTCCCATGGGCATTCCCTGGACCTATACTTGAATGATCTAGAAAGTTCATTTAAAACATTAATAGTGTAGAGCACTTCACAGATCTCACTTCTAGCTGCCTTCTGAGTCTTCTTAACAAGTGCCCAGTCCTCCCTGCATCATGTTCTTAGAAAGTAAAAAATTACCTGCAGCAGACGTATTTAAGAAACTGTGATTCCTTTGACAATCTGATGGAGAGAGAAGTAGTGTTTAATTTTTGAGTGAACTTTTCCCAATATCTACTAGATTACAGTCATTTAATTTACATAACTGTTAATGTCAACACCAGTTTTAGTTTTCAGTACTTCTTGGGTAATGTCTTTTTGGTTTTTTGTTTTTTTTTTTTTTTTTTTTTTTTTTTTTTGCCTCTGAATCAAATTCAAGTTTTACTAGTTATATGGTTTTCCTTATTGATTGATGCTAATAAATGTCCCCTTTACTTGGGTTTGTTTTCTGTTCCCTCTCCTCTTTTCTTTTCTTGTCCTCATTCTCCTCTTTATATTTTTGGTGGGATTTTGTTTGTTTGTTTGTTTTGTGTGTGTGCACTCACACTCATGTCCCCCCAAACCCTCCCCCCCCCATGTGTGTCCCAGTAATGCAGAGAAAAAGGTTAAAAAAAAGGTTAAATTCCTTGGATGGTAATTTAGGAATAAATGATTACCTCCGGGCATATATTTACATCTGTATGGTGAAGCTTGTTTATCTTAACTAAAAGATCTTCACTGGCAATAATCTGGAGGAACTGCATTGAATTTTGCATTTGAAATAGCTTACTTTTTTTTCTTAAACAAGAATGACAAAAAGATATATTTCAAGGACATCAAAATAGGACTTAGCTGTTTCCCATATATCATTAGTCTATTGCCTTGGGTACCTTTTACAGTTTTAGAGTATCCTATTTTTACAGTGGATATTCAACATTACCTTTTTAGGAAATTTTTTTTTTTCTTTTGTTCTCATTCCTTCTTTACACCACTGTAATGTGATAGATAGCTTGGAATTAAAATTTTTATAAGGAAGTATGTGATGGATCACTCAAATTCTAGCATCTGCAGTTGCATTTCATTTTAAACTAACTGTGTGAAAAAAGTTCGACTTGGGAAGGCCCACCCTGACTCTGGACACATCTCAACCCTGTTTACCATCTGCCCTCTGTCCTCTGCCTGTGGTCCCAAGACTCAGGTGAGTCTGGGCACTGCTCTGACCCCCCTCCACCAACCTCCCCCATCAACCCCTGCTTTCTTATGCCTGAGCCCACTCAGACAAGAGTGGACATGCCCAGACTGGGAAGGCCCACCCTGAGTCTGACATACTCCACCCTTGTCCACCCACCTCCCTCTGCCATCTGGCTGCTGTCAGAGGCTGAGCCCTCCTTCTGCCACCAGAGAGAGGGAGAGACCCCACCTTCATTCACTGGTGGAAGGGATGGGAAGATGGCAGAGTAAGAACAACTCAACAACAGAAAAACCAATATGACATCTCCAGAATCTAGGGACTCAACACC